TGTTCTGTTCATGTGGGATTGTTTCCAGCAGCACATCAACTTTAATTCAGTTGCCCGGTCCAAGAGCAGAGAGAGGGAAGTGGAGAAGAAAGACACAGAGAGCGTACAAGGCCGATCCAAAGAGAAGAAGGAGGAAAAGGAACGGAAAGAGAGAAAACGAGTGAGCGCTTTACGCTTAAAACTACTGACCAGTTAGAGACCGGACGGGGAAGGCGGTTGTTCAGCTCAGAGACGCATTGAACTGCCACCAGCGGCAGAACATTTGAGCATTTTTAAGCGCAGCGATCCGTTCAGCGAACGCCTAACGTCGCCGCTTCTCTTTTAGGATCACGCCGTCAACGACCGCGAGGCCAGCCAAGAGTCCAAGCGGAGGAAGGACGAGAACGGCACCAGTAAGCGCTTTCTGTCCGTCTCGAGTCGGCCGCGGTGGGACGCGAAACGTGACGGCGGGATCGTTCTCTCCCCAGATTCCTCCAAAAACAGCCAGAGCACGAGTCCTTCCTGCGACTCTCCTCTGACGCCGGAGAAGGAGAAGACCAAGAGATCCAAGTCCTCGAGCAAGGAGAAGGCCGAGTCCGCGAAAGCCGAACGAACGTCTTCCGGAGGCAAGAAGGTCAGCCCGGCGTTCGTTACTACGGTGACGCTCATTACTTACCTGCGTTTGGCTAGCCTGTTAAGATGAAAACCCATGTTTTATTTTTGTTTGCATAAAAAAAAAAAAAAAAAGGTCGTATGTGCAGATTTTCACGTTTGTGAAGTGAAAGAAAAATACTTTGGTTTCTTATTTGTTATTCGTAAAGCGAACCTTTAATTTGTCCTGCAGGAGTCCAGACATGACAAGTCTGAGAAGAAGGAGAAGAGGGACAGCGCTGGAGGGAAGGAGGAGAAAAAGCAATATCCTTGAGTGAACAGTGACTTGAAAATTTTCCCGGTATTTTTTTTTTTTTTTTTTTTTTTGACAAGTTGTACATTTTTGACACACACCGTCTCTTTACTTCGGCCCCCTGATCTAAGCAGCTATAGTTTCCTCCGTTGCTCTGCGTGCCGTGCGTTTATGGATCCGTCTCGCGTTAACTTGGTTTCTCTTTTTGCTTCCATCCTGATATCATTTATCGTGTTTTTACTTTGGCCGTGTTGCTCAGGCCCAACGAGTGTTGCAGAACTTTTAACAGCTTCAAGCGTCTAGCTGAGGTCATTTTTCCAACCTGTGTGGTTATGCTGGGGTTTAAACCGACCGTGTTCTCTGCGACTCGAACCCGATCCCTGATGGGTGAAACGTTTTGCTCTGTGTATTGATAATTTGCCCACACTCTTTACACAAATCGGTGTTTTTGACTGTTTTTAAATGAACTTTTAGGAGATACTAATTTAAAAAAAAAAAAGTTCAACGATGCCAAAGGAAGCAGTTCTGGTTCCCGCCTGAGCTTTTTTCCTCTGGATATTGACGGAGCACATTTTAGACAATCAATCGACAGTCCCTCGTTTTTTAAATTTTGCATTAAGTGATTCAGTTTCCCTTAACGATCACACTCATAAGTCGTCTGACAAGCACAGATAATGTGCACTAATCAGTGAAGGTAAGAGCCGTTCAGCTTCTTTCTCAATCAGCCGTCTTGCAGTCGCCTGATGCTCTTTGTTTCCTCCCCTCTCTGTGCTGCAGCAGAAATGGATAAGCTGTACTTTTATCTGCAAGACATCCACAACTCCACCTGTACCACTTATTGACTTTCATTCTTATTTACGATTGTATTTTTCTTTACTTTTTTTTCTTCCCCCCCCATGCCTGTTGTTAGCTGTGGTTAATTCACGCATTATCCAATTATTCTTCCTGTTTCAGACGATAAACCAGCTGAATAAATTTTGTCTTATTTTTATAATAATATATCTATATCTATATATATATAGATATATCTATATATATATAAATATACATAAAATAGTTTGGGCACAAGGTGCGTAATCACAGTGTTATCCTACCAGAAATGTGGTTACTGTATGAAATGATCTTTTGGTAGCAAATGGTCATGGATTCAATAATCTCATGTTTGAAAACAGTTTTTTATTTTTGTTTTTGTACGATGTCGGGCCTTGCGTTTTTTGTTGGTTTTTTTTTGCTTGTTTTATTGGATATAACCTGCGTTTCCATACTCACTTACCTCATATCCTTTTTTGAGCTACTTAGATCCTTTTATTTATTTATCTTCACCTTTTAATCTAAGTAGGACAGCAAAGCATAAGTGAGGAAATAATACCTAGGACCAGTTTGTATATTGTGTACAATAATAAAAAAAAAAAAAAAACATAACATGAAATTCGCATCATGTTATTTCATTCTTTTTGTTTTTATTTTATTTTTTTCCATGTCCCATGCAAGTTCTTCTGTGAATTTGTGTTAATCAGGTTTTTACATAATTTATAAAAAAAACAAACAAAACAGAAAAAAGAAAAAAAAAACAACAGAAAAATGTCGGTTCAACTTTGATTCAGATGTAGAATTGTAAAGAAAAATTCTGACGCTCTGTACTCCAAATGCAACCGTTTCAAAAATGACATTTGGAGATTTTATCTGCTGTACTCAATGAGTGTATGTTTTGTTTTTTAAGAAAAAAAAAATAAACTCAATAAATAATAGTTTTCTTAGTGTCACTTTAACACTGTGTCTGTCCTTTTTTCTCTCTCTTTAAGAATGTAAGCTGTGGATTAGAGAAGTTTGATAATCGGTATGAACGTTCAGCATTGTTTACGTTTGACTAATTGTGGAAGCCCAACAGTAATCGGGTCCGAGTGTGACTTTTAGAGCAGTGAAATTAAACCTTGCTTTGCTTAAAAACAATATATGATTGAACTTTACAAATGAGACTAAATGGTTCTTGACGTTTCAGTTTAGTTTACGTGTTTTCCTTTTACCATAGTTTAACTTTTTATGGGGTTTCTATTGGTTACTTGTCTTGCCTTAAGTTATTTCTAATCTGAAATAAATCCAAAACATTTTCTATACACTGTACATTCGCTACCACTAATATCGGTTTAATAGCGACTCGGATCAGTGCCCCACACATTTTGCAGTTTTCAACAAGCTTCAGTAAGTTCTTTATAACTGGTTTGTTTCCTGCTGTTGAACTGGCTTTTAAACATAAATAGTTCAGTTTGTTTTTTTTTTTTGTTTTTTTCTCCTTTTAACAAGCTGTGAGTTGGAGACGCTCTGAAAGCTTCATAAAACCCAGTTTGCTGCAGATCTGTTTGGATCTTTATCAATATGAAACTATAAGTGTATTCAAGATTTAACCATCTGGAAATGGTCCATTGTTGCGTCGTGATGCTGCCACCACCATGTTTGACAGTGATCCCATTTCAAAAGCTTCACTTTTATTTGTCCAACATAATTTCTTATTGTGGCTCAACCAGGGCGATTCTGCCTCGGTCCGCATTGATCCACGGCTGGATTCGCTCTGTAGTCACACTGGTGTTGCTGCAGTTTCCACTTCATGAGAAACACGAGCCCAGGCTGCTTCACCTGAGGGCAACAATTTGGGACGGATGAAGTTTGAACATAAGTGGATGTTTGATGTCAAACGTGCATCTTAAACTCGTTGAGTCGTTTAAAACGGTTAGAGTGTGAACTAAACACACCGTCGGGTCGATGCCAGATAATTAAAACACTTTAAATGAGCCAAAAATAAAGCAGGAACCTTGGTGATGTCTGTAAGAAACGTATGTTTGGGGTGCAGTTTGATTAGAAACATTCAACCAGTCATTCGTTTGGCTGTATTTTTATGCTTGATGAAAGCTTTTAAACTTTGTGCAAACAGGGAAAGAAAATCCACAAGTACAGCACCAAAATCTAATAAACCATCAAAAGCCCAAATTTAAGAAGCAGTCCCAGCAGACGAGTTCACGTTGCAGGATGATGTGCTCTCACTCTGCTTCCTTAAAGTTCCTCTTGTGTCTAGAGCAATTCCTCGACCTCAATAATATTCACCTTTTAAAACACGTCAAGATTTGTAGTTTTAGAAAAGCAGTAGAAGAAAAATCCCAAAGCTGAATATAAATCTTCTTTTATTAAGGAAATGTAATAAAATCCTTTGTACAGGACCTCTACACAGAGGCTTGTGTCCATACATGCAACTCTCACGGTTGAGGTATCAATAAATTAACCCAAAAATACCCCCCCTCCCTAAACTCAAACTGGAATAAGTCATTTTAGAGCCGACTAAACCGGGTCCGTTTGGAGTTGCTATTTGATTAAACTACCACCAAATTCACATGCACTTTATGAAAAGGATGAGAAAGAGTTATCAAACAAGTGTAGGCGCAAATGGTTTGTAATGTCAGCCTCTCCCTGCGGACTGCAGAGTTTTAGTCGTACAAATGTTGGATTCGTCGCGCGGCCTCTGCGAAATGCACAGGAAGCTCATCGCGACCAAAAGAAGCTACGGCACAGCGCCGTTTACCAAAACTGATGAAACCGCACCTATACGAGAGCAGTGCTGGCGTGTGTACAAAGTGTAAACCATGAGCTCTTTTAAAATCGACTTCAATGCTTTGTTACGTAAAACGGGGTCTTTTTTTTTCCCCCCCTTTTCGTCTAAAGAGTTGGGAATTGTCTCGATCTCAGTAACGCGGCGCCAAGTTGAAAACAAGCCAACCTCTTTGGTAGAAATGTCTTCACCCCCTACCCCCCCCCAAAAAAAGTGGCAGTTTTAAACAAATGACATACTTGATTTAAAACAAGCATCCAAGTAAATACAGAGTAGGTTGGATGTCCAGCAGGCTATGAAACAAACATCATCCCAGCTGTTTCAGATGTACACAAGCATGACGTGTTGAAGTTGGAGTAAAAACAAAAACTGGTAGAAAATGCTGCCAGTTCAACTGATCCTTAGCCTTATTATTGTTACTGATGCTTGTCCTAAATGTTCCGACACTGGAAATATCCTTATAACACAAGAGAAGGACTTTACCTCACTAAACATAACATTTATCCAACTTAAGGTTTCACCACAAAAATATCTCTTTAAAGGATTTAAATTACTTAAGTACCTCAGGGATTTCATTGCAAACCATGGCTTTTTTTTTTTTTTTTTTTGTCGTCTTCAAAATATAAAACAGTAATTACATCAGTCCATCTACATGAAGCCGTTTCTTATCCAATCGCCGCCATTTTTTTTACATTTTTTTTTGTTCTGTGTTTATCAAGTTAATTTAATTTTATCTGCATTGCCATGACGCCAAAATGCTCCTTAAGGCACAAAAAGAGGCAATTCCCATGTTCCCACAAACAGAAGTCCAGATGCGTGTGATTGCCCTCTGTCAGTGTGACGGTTCATAACCCCAAATGAGCACTTGTTGACTTGTTGGCTTGAGTCCAAGCTGATGACGAGGAAGGCGTCGCTTCCAGGATTGCCCACCTTCGAGGGGTGGAGGGTTGTCGGGGTCATGGGTCACGTGTCGGAGTGGCTCTTTCTATCCTTTATGCACCAGTGGGGCTTAAGAATCACCTGCGAAACAGAAAAACCACGCAGGTCATTTGAGCACCTCAGATTCCCAGCTGCTACAATTTGGAGGGATGATCGTTTCGATTCAGTTGAGAGGAAAATAACCTAAAAGCGGTGAGTGTCGGCTGTTGTACATTAGTATTACAATGGAAAAGGTTGAAATCTTCTAATTAAAAGTTACCAATCTGTATTACTAGCAGACAAAACAGGTCAGTTCTGACCTATATATTGTTTTATACCAGGATTTTAAACCGGAGCTGTTTAGAAGCCAGAGAAGAAGAACAAATGCCCACATTTCATTAAATGACATTAGACCTTCTCACAATGTAGATGACGGAGAAACATCATTGCAGAGCTGATGTAGAGATTCTCTGTTCGACTGCACAACCACCACTACTCCTAACAAACACAATGAGCTGTTTACACTCCTGCACCGGTTCCCATATTTCCATGAATAGTCTATTTTTGGACAAATATTCAAAATGAACAATGTGTACAGTTGTGGTACTTTGTTCTATTTCTGTCATCATCTGCACAACTGTGCAGTTTTTCTTTCGTTGTGTCTTTCAGTTAATTGTACAATCTATTTAGTTTTTACTGTTATCAATGTGTTTCCATTTAAATAATTATGATTCGTTTTATTTCTGGGCACCTTTAGACACTTGAGGACAAGAAGTACAGAACAAACAAAGATAATTCTGTTATATTCTATTTTACAAATAAGCGTAAGGACCCACAGACACTGAGAACAAAGGAATCTGTTTAATGTTCAGATTTTTCTAGCAAAAAGGAGCTAATATAAGTTTGTGGCAATGCCTGCTAGATAAATGTTTTCTTCTTAAATATTAGGAAAACTGTGTAAAGCCTGGAAAAGTGTGTAAATATAAAAATGATAAATTTAATGCAAACTCTGAAGCTCTTAACATCACCATTCCCCGTAGTGAAATACAGCAGAGGAACACACCATCATGCTGTGAGCGCGTTTTTCATCCGCTTCTAAATGAAACCTTGATGCGGGACTCTCCTTGGAAGAAAACCCAAATCTGTTAGATCCTGTTAAAAGTTTGAAACTCTCCAGAGTTGCAGGTTCCACAACTGATCAATCGCACAGAGACCCACCTGCTGGTTACTCTGCTGGTGAATGTGAGAAACGACGGGTGACCTACCCTTTAGATTTTCACGCTCTCCGTCCCGTAGACGTTGTAGCCTTCACGGTATGTGGCAAAATTCTGGGCGTTTGCTGGGGGGGCTGGCTTAAAGTTTTGGGCGTTCTTCGCCAGCTTGAGTTTTTTTGTTTCCTGCCGTGACTTATAGCAGAACTCTATCAAAGCAACGGTCATAGCCAAGCCGAGCCCCCCGACCAGAATATAGAAGACGCCTGCCACGTTGCTCAGGCTCAATGCACTTGTCTTGTCCTGGGGGAGGTACAGACCACCATTAAGGGGTTTTAAACGGACACTGAGAGGCACAAAACCAACATGAACACTGCTACTCTGTCACTAGCAGCTACTCTGAGGAGGTCGCTAAATGTGTGTATAGACATCCTGAAGCCTAATCTGACTAAAAACAGTACATCTACAGACCTCCTCCTCTTAATCAAAATAAAAAAGGAAAAAAAAAATCCCTGACAAGGTGAATGTAGAGAGACTTGTCGACTATCCTGCTTTGCGGTCTCTTTACGAGGCCACGCATAGAGGAAGGCGGTCGTGGTCGTACAGGTCTACAGATTAGCTTCAGTTCACTACCATAGCTGCTGAACTCAACCTTGACAACACTGCATCTGTACAGTCAGAGTAGCAAGCTGTAAGAAAGGGGAACTGAACCATTTTGCTGCTTTTAAAAGCCAAACGGTAAGATTGAAATTCATTTCTGCAAGTGTCACCATTTGCATTGAAACCCAATGGAACGGTTCCAAAACCAGTTAAATCTGCTTTTATGTGGTAAAAGTCAGATTACTTTTGTATACAAACTAGTTATTTTATAATTGAAAATGCATTAAAAAAAAAGTTTGTTACTCTGACAATCCATCATGACCATTAAATACCCCCCTGGCCACTTACTTGCTATTTAAGGGGTCACTTTGGTTTTGTCAGGGCAACAATGGCTTTTTCTGTGTTCAAACAAGGGCAGCTGCACAAAATGCAGAAAAAGAATGAATTTAACTTATTTTTGCTTTTTCAATAACATAATGATTGTTGAAAATAGCTTGAAGAAATTTTCAGCAACATATCAAAAAGAAGAGACAGGCTAAAAAAATGGTCCTTCATTTCACAAACTGCGTTTTATCAGAGTAACAAAGTTGCTGCCTTTCTTCCTGATTTATTCATAAATACCAGAGGCAGCTCAGTGAAGCATTAGTGTGCAAATACACATGAGGTTGCATTGCAGAACTATTTTTGGTGACAGTTGTGTCATTGGGAAAGGACCGATCCAAATCACTGAAATCAGGTCTTTCAGTCCCTCCCAGGTTGATAAAATCAAACATCTAGATATGCAGACTAATTCTACAAGCATTTGGGAACAGATGGATTGTTCTCTGAAGTTCAGTAAATCCCATCATGGTAGTCTAATTGGATGTGCAGTTAGGGCTTTGGTGAATTTCCTCACTTCTTGACAGTCAGAAGTCGACTGCTAGTGTAAAGAACTTCATGGACCAACAGCTGCATCCAAACTTGGTCTACATCCAAGTGCAAAGCAAAGAGTCGTGCCATTGGGTGGAAGACAACTTAGGTTTTTTTGGATGCTGTGTAAATGTCCATTTACTAGAGCAGTGGAGAAAGTTTCCAACGAAAAGGGGCTCCTAATGCTTTACCACACCAAGACATTCTGGAGAGTTTTAGGCTAGCTTAGGGGGGAACAGTTTGGAGATGGTCTCTGCCTCTTCCAAAGCAACTACACCCGGGGTTTCAACGACAAGAAAACACTCAACTGGAAAGTTTAAGCAGAAGGTCTTTCTGTTAATTTTATGTAATTTGTGCCATGTTAAGTCTTTCTAACTGAGGACAAATACAACTTTAAAGAGAAAATTGGCAGAAATTCTAAGAAAATCTCTCAAATATGTTGAAGTTTCAGTCAACTAGGCAAGGTCCATAAAGACATAAATGAGTGAGGATTTTATGAAAGAACTTGATTTGAGTCCTGACACTAACCCAACAGTGTCAGGATCTTGGGCCAGGCCTTTTTGTCCAACATCAGTGTTTGACCTCGCAACTGTACCTTTGAAAAAACGGTTAAAGCTAGATTCTCTCACCTAACGTTTTACCTGCCTGAGCTGGAGTGATATGAACCCACGTTCTTGTTTCGTGGAGTGTTTCAGTTGTGATCTTTTCACACATAAAATACCCCAGTTATAAAAAAAAAATCTCACTGCTTAGAGGAAGGATTTTTTTTTTTGATAGATCCACATCTGTAGGAATAAGCATATCCAAAAATCTGTGCCCCATCTTTGATGCCACCCTGGGCAACCACCGCCATCCTCCATATTGAAAATACCACTAAACATTACTTGTCCTTCTTTTCATAAAACATGTTGCTATGTTAATTACTTGTAATTATAATGAATTTCTGGTTTTAGTTCAGTTTTGGAACATTCTGCACAGCAGCCCAAGTTTTTTTTTTCTTCCTTTTTTTGTCAAAGGGTTTAACAACAACTCCACATACAAATGAATAAGACCAACAGCAAACTAAATTTCAATAGCAGTTTGGATGAGAAACAGCAGTATAATGGTTTCAGTTCTTGTCGTTAAACTTTTTAAGAGTTTAATGGGGTGAATACAAACTGTGTGTAATCATGCTGCAGTTTTATGTGTCTGCACAGAGAGGTAATGGCGTGGAGTTAAAAGTAAAGCATCAATGCCCTGTTGTGTAAATACCCTAAGCTGCGGTGTGTGAAGGTAATCTAGTCTCCATGACTGTGTTTCATGCCAACATGTCTGAGGATGTATGCGCTACATGTCTGCATATGAACAGTGAAGGTAAAATGCATTTTTGCCATCAGTATAAGAAGACCTGCAGCGACTGACCTTACTTCCAGAGTCCTTGGTTCCACATTCACCCTTATCGTACCACCATTTGTTTTTCAGCTTGTCTAAGATGCCTTGTTCACTGAGTTTCAATACTGCAAGGTTTACAGGAGTTCTTCACGTGGGAAATAACATAAATAACATTGTAATATGTTATTTTATGTTATTCAACTTCTTTAAACTACTTTATACTGTACAAAGCGATAGAGTAGGGTCCTGGCCAACATGTCACAGATAGCAAGCAGCACTACATCGTATAGCAATAAAAGACTTTCACCATCCATGGCTAAACCTAGCATGCCAGACCCCACCTGTATCGCTTTGAGTAATCGGCACACACTGATCACAAGAACAGAAGAGATTAAAACTGTGCAGAATAAAGCAGCTGCTGCGTAGCTTTCAAAGAATGAAGGAGAAACAGAGGCAATGATTGCTGAGAGCACTTCTTTTTTTGGCTGTTTGGTCGCCTTTTGTTGGCGTTTGGCAAAGTGGATCTAACAGGAACCCTTTCCTGACTAACAGACGATAACAGCAGTCCGATAATTACATAAACACCGACTGAGATTAATGTCTCGCAGATTGACCCGTGTAAAAGGGCGAGCGGCCCCCAAAGGAGTTCTACAAATTTGGGGTTTGGTTTGCTCTTCAGACCGAATCGTCTGCCGCTCCACAATGGACAGAGACGCCGACGACGCGAAGCTCTACGCTTGAAGCCAGATGTCAGACGTCAACTTGTTCTGCGAGACATTACGCTTGAGTTTCAACTGCTCCATTTCCAAGCTTATTTCCTCTCAGAAAAGGTTCCGGTGTCTATAATCTCAAATCAAATATATTGTATTCACCACTGTGTTCCTGCAGTCGAACAGATAGAGCCTGTTTTGTAATGGAAATTGAAAGGGGAAGGGAGGGTTGGCGTTTCGTCCTGGTTTCCAGTCAGAAGAAAGAAAAGTTAATCTATGACAGTTTTGTTGGGGCATATTTTCACAGCAGCAGACAGAATTTAAAGAACAAAGTGAAATATTAGTCTCAGCTCTTCACATGTTATTCAAAGTAAGAGGAGTTCTTGGGTAGTCTTTAATGAGTTATCTGAATCAAGAAATGTGTATGTAAGACTGTAAGTAGGGCATTTTGTAGTTGGAGACATTTTTGGATTATGATTCATGAAAATGTACTTAAACAAGGATTCCTGTGAAGCTTTGAAAAATCTGCAAAATATGTAGTTTGAATATACATTTTCATATTTATTACAGCTCTATTCTTTTCAGTTTTCCCATCCACCTCTCTCCATACAAAACCATTTTCTACCCACATACATCATCACTGGATATCAGTTTATGTCTTTAAATAGTTTGAATTTAGATTAAATGTGGACATAAATAATGCCATGAGTATAATTTAATTGAACATTATGTTCTAAAAAATTCATATGACACCACCCAGGCTTCCAATGATTATTAGCCAGTTGAGGTTTATTAAAAATGGCAGACTGGAAACTCTGATCAAACCAGAACACGTCTGAGCGACTTCTTGCTGGGAGGCATCATCTGACGGACTCACATAACTACATTTCCTGTGAGTAGACCACCAGCAGATTATAAAACACTGCCATAAATCATCAGGTGTCAAAGTTGGTATTAAGAATTCCCTCTGCCCCCCAAAAAAAAAAATTATCGTAAGAACTGATTCAAGATCGGCACAGCGGACAGATTCTTTTTGGACCTGAAAAAAGTTTGGTACAAAATGACCCAATTTACAGTATGATAATATGAAATGGCAAAGGGAAGAAATGAGAAGAATCGTCAGATTTTCCATGACTTAAAATGTCTTTTTAAAATCCACATCAGTTGGATCAATTCATTTTAGACTGAACCAGATCAGCAAAACGACCCAAAATAGCCATTTTTAACAGGGAAATTTGTATAAGTGTATTAAAGGGGAGCATTAAAAAAAAAAACATCTCAGCAGCTGTCAGTTATTGGTATACTCTACAACATTTTTATATTTACTTTTTTACAACATTCCTCTTTCTGATTTTCATACTACGGTTAATGGATTCAGTGACTGATGAAACTTTTTAAGACATCAGTGTGCCGTCTGTTATGTCACTGTTATGTCACTTACACAAAATATACATTATTATTCTAATTATTGATATAATTAGAATTAATTAACCTAATCATGGCTATAAAAGTCTGCAAAAAGTATCATTTTGCAACCCCCTGACCAGTTTGAATGCATTCAAAACCCTGAATCATATTGTTTATTTTGGGAAAATTTTATAAGTAAAAAAAAAAAATATATTTTTTATTTATTTAAAGTTTTACTTTTTACTGATGTGTCTGCAAACAGATTCCAGGTTCAACTAATAACGAAAACCATTAGAAGAGAAAATATGACAAACACCTGTGCAAAATATCGTGATGGGAAAAAAACCTGACATTTTTATGTGAAGGCTGCATTTCCTTTGTCTTCTTTTATTTTATTTTGAGGATGGCTGGATTACATCATATAAAATCTAAGAGCCAAAAAGAGCACATTTGTTGCTGCGTGTTTCGACGCAAGAATGTCAAATCATGACTTTACCTTCCAGTCTGTCTGCAAAACAGGAACGCGGGAAGGGGGACAATGGAGTCCGGAAACACTGAAGATCATTCGCACAAACACAAAACTGCTCATGCAGACAAAACGACGACTCAAAATCACAAACCATGAGGACGAATGAGCACACAGGAGAGTACGGGACATGTTTCAAAATTATTAGCTTTAAAGACGGACAGAAACAGGATTTTAAGCGTTCTGTCTGGATTCCGCTTTTTCCTTGCGTAGCTTTTGGGTTTGCTTTGGCGCCAGTGGTCGTTACATACAATATATTTTGCTTTCCTTCCTACACAACACGCACGGTTTTCTGAAAGCGAAATAAGGAAACGGAAACGTGGCAGTCGCATGTGGTACTGTTTGACTGATCGTCTCGTCTCCTTCCAACCATGCCTGAAAAGCGCTGAGCCGAGCAAGAGGAGGAAGGCGTCTTTGTGTTATTCTCTGGTAGCTTCCACGCCCTGCTCACTCAGAAGTGGATATCGACAGAAAATGACAGCAAAGTCGCCCTGCTCTCCTCTTTGATGGTACTGCTGCCGTGATGCAAGCTGGAGAGCAGACATGAACGCAGAGGTACCACAGTACGGCGTCTAAAACAGGAGGGCGGGGGGTTTCGTATCGTCAAAATGACTCTGATGTAGGAAAAGATCTGAGGTGCTCTGCAGGGCCGAGCTCATGTACGGCATCAAGCTACTAAATCTAAGAAATGCTCGCAGCATGACAAATGAAAAAACAAAAAAGAAAGAAAAAAAAATCACAAAAATAGAAGCTCATCTTTAACATTAAATGTCAGAAAATATGAAATTTAAATTACAGGAGTTATTTGCTCATTTTGACATTTATTGGCACATCTCAATGAATTAGAGGATCATGAAAAAGTTATTTAATTAATAATGTAAAAAATGCTATTATGTAAGACATAATGGCTCTACAAAATATTTTACAACGGAAACGTCAGCCTACTAAAAAGTGTGTCCTACAGAAGAGGTGTCCGAAGTGTGGCTCGGGAGCTGTTTGTGGCCCTTGAAATTATTTTGTTTGGCCCCGTTCACATGGAAAGAATGGGACAAAATTGGCGGAAAAAAATTGAAAACAATTAACGACCAAAAATAGTCTGGTTTTCTTTTCTTTTTTTTTTCAATAAGGCAACATTTTGAAGTCCTATTTATTTTTTGGATATTTAATGATATACAGATTTCATTTAAAAAAAATTACATTTTAGCAAGTAAATTAAAGAAAAAGCACAGACTATTTTTTTTTTTATTTAATCTATTTTTTGGCCCACCAGTAGATTAAATTTGTCAGTTTTGTAAAACGTCTGGGCACCCCCGTCCTACAGCATAAGCACCAGATTCTTGATCTGGGCTCCTTTAGCCTGAATTGCTGCATCAGAGTGATGCTGCCAGTCAGTCTGTGGCTCTGCTGAAGAGTTAATATTGGTCATCAGCTCATCTGCATTGTTGGGTTTGGTGTCTCTCATCTTCCTCTTAGTTTCTCTGTGGGGTTCAGGTCAGGAGACATGGTAGGTCAGTCATGCTCAGTGATATCATGGCCATCAAACAAGGTTTCAGTTGTGAGAAGCTGCTCTAAAATGTCCTGTGCTGAATTTGGACTTGATAAAAACCCGGTGGACGACCGCCAGCAGATGGCGTGGTTTCTCCACATCATAACCGACTGTGGAAACTTCACACTGGACGTCAAGCAACGTGGATTCTGTTCCTCTCTGCTGGACCTTGATTTTCAAATCAAATACATTTATTTTCATCTGAAAAGAGAACCTCTGAAAGAGAATCAAGTCCTTATGTCTCCTCAGTTGGTTTAAGAGGCTGCTAACATGGTCGCTGGTTCAAAAGTGGCATTTTGTTAATATTTTTGTGGCACTATTGGCATTAATTCAAAGTAATCCAGACAATAAACAGGCTCAGAGAGAAAGTGGCAAGATGGAGCAATTACATCAAGAATAAAAACCTCAATAGAGTGAAGATCTGACACATCTTGAAAACATCTCCCAAACTCATGAATGGACTTTGTTTCACAACCTGCTAAAGGCTTGTTTGCTGCCACATTTTGTTCTTCCACACAACTTTCAATAGCCATGCTTGGACACTGATTGTTTTCTAGTTCTTAAATGTCCATTTTTCATCAGTTCTATGTAATATTCAGATCAAAATTAACAGGAATAAATATTTGAAATATATTCGGTAATTCTGTGCATAGCAAATTTAACAAGCATTGTGGTGTCCCTTTTTATTTAAGTTAGTGAATTAATAATGTTATCAATGATTCTCCGATTCATTAAGATGTACCAGTGTCACAAAAAAACTCAACTTAAAACGAGTCATGTGTCATTTTGGGCTTTTTGCCGGATAGGATAAGTTAGCAAAGGTTGCATAGACTCACAGTTTTCAGTTGCTAACCATATTTGGAGACAACATCTTACTGACAAGAGGATAATCAAATCATATCCCTTCATACCCCTCTGGTAGTTCTCTTTACTACAGTGGGTTTTTACCCTCACCACCCAGGTGAGGGTGGCCATGGAACGACTTTTACTGGTCTTAGATCCAGACCAAGCAAAAGGTGGGAAGATGTTAGAGGAAATTAAAACAAATAATAAAATAAAGACAAAAATAAAGTTTGTCCTGTTAGTCGTCACTCTGTCATTAGAATTCTCACGTTTGCCTGAGATGCTTAGTCCCCTCAAGACAACGCTGTTTCCCGTGCCTGCCCTAAACTCTGAGGCGGCAGATCGGAGAGTGGATTCCTACCGCCGTTCATCACATAGAGACATGTAGAGACTTCCTGATTGGCCTGTGGGTATGAAAAACAGAGGAAAACGTCGTTTCTGCCTTTCATAACCACAGGTCAAGCTGCTACTCAGTCACAAGCACTGCATATAGTACTTTTACATCACAGAACTTCAGGTTTTCTCACATACTTTTTTTTTTCCTCCTCCATTAGCCAAGTAAAGGGTTCCCACATGATCACAGCTGTAGATTAAAGGATGACTAAAACAACCTTCTTAGGCTGTTTTTTTTTTTTTAATCTTTTTTAAATCAGTTACATGTCAGCGGGCGCTTGGCCCCTGATTCTGCAGTCAGTGACGACAGCCTTGCCGATTACTCTGTTCTAGGATACCCGATTTTGGTGACATCGAGGCTGACCTTAGAGTCACCTCCCCCGCTGCCGCACTCTCCCTTGTCGTACCACCATTTGTTTTTCAATTTGTCCAAGAGGCCTTGCTCATTCAGTTTTAACACTGCCAGGTTAACAGCATTTCTTGAAACGATAAAACATAGCTTGTAAGAAAATGAACAGGTCCGTGAGAAATCTAATATGAAATAATTAGTAGGAAATAGTGATCAATATCAATGGTTCAGAAGGGTAGCACGGGAGGGACAAATTGGTAAAAGAGTTCCACAGGAGTGGAGGGATAAAAAGCACTTTTACAGCAAAACGAAATGTTAAATATTAGAGAGGTGGCATGGAGGGTTACATTGCTTGTAACTGAAGTGTGCGGGATGGGGACATTCTGTCATTGTTGAAGTAAGTATAAAAAAATAAAAAAAAACATCCAGCATGCAGCTTAACATTCATCACAACTGACAGACCAACATGTAAAACTAGCAAAAATGACTCGGGAATAAATCAGAGTTAAAGTAGGGGTAATGCAAAAAATAAATAAATAAATAAATAAAAGGAGCACCACAGACAACAAGGAGGAGGAGAGCTTGTAGGAGAAACTGAAAGAACAATCAAGAGGAGGTGGAGTTGCACACTGACATCCAAGTGGAGACACAGAAAGTGAGTCATATACCATAACGTTTCGGAACAAAACAATAAAAAACGACACAGTCAAACCAGAAACATAGGACAAGACAATAAATGTGTTGATTCAATTCAGATAACCCATAATACTGTTCACCTAGAGATGCACTTGGAAACAAAATAGAAGAATTAAGGAGTGAAGGAAGAAGAGTATGACAAAAGGAAACATCAGGGTAGGTGGAATACTATAACAACAAAGAGGATATTGTTATATTATCCCACCCACCTTAATGCTGAGCTTTTAGGTGTGGCCACACCGTAGCCCTTAGAGTCGAGGTTGCCGCCCACTTTCATGGTGTCGCAGGGCTTCCGCTGCTCTATGTACTCGTTCATTGTGGATTCGAGCAGAAAGGCAAACTTGCCCTTCGACTTCCGGACCCGGGAGACCCCGTCCGGTGTCGTCTTGACAAACACGGTGGGTTCGGCCGATTTCATGTACGACCACATTTTCTCATAAACGGCTATTTTGGAGCGCTGCATTCAAAGGAAGAAGGAGAGAAGAGAGCGGAGGTTTAGTTGACGTCAGGCATGAAAACTCACACAAATCTGCTGGAGACAAGAGCTGTCATTCAAAGTTATCACAAAAATATAGAAACTATTTATAGAAGGGATAACTTAACCTAAGAAGAGCATAAAAAACGTCTGTTTAAATAATGGATAGAGTCATTTTTGCCGTGCTACTAACGTTGCTAACACCGTTAGCACCATAGACAT